GGACACTCCAGAGTGCAAAAATTTTTGTGCACTGGGCCTCTAGTAGTATATAATGACAGCTAGGTTTGTCACTATTATAAAAAAGACTTATAAATAAGGACCAGGGAAGGCTTGAATGTGCCTTATGGTATTAGATATGGAGAGAGAGAGAGAGAGAGAGAGAGAGAGAGAGAGAGAGAGAGAAAGAGAGAAGCATGGATGTGAGAGACAACATTGAACCTGTAACGTGTATGTGGGTATGTGCTCTAACCAGGAATTGGACTGGCAAACCTTTGGTGCACAGGATGACACTCAACCAACAAGCCACACCAGCCAGGGCTGGAGAAATACTCTTTTTGAAGAATAACTAACATTTCAGAGTAGAAAGTCTTAAAATCCTAATGCCCAATATCATATTTAAATTAATTAAATTTTTTCAGCACACTCATTTACCGAAAGTGATATATTTTTATATAAGTTTGGTTTTTTATTGAATACTCTATCATAAAATGATGCTTAAAGCATTGCTTTAGATTGCAGGTGGGCAAACCTTTTCTGTGAAGGGCTCGATAGTAAATAGTTTAGGCTTTTCAGGCTACATAAACTTTCTGGAACACATTATTCTGTGTCTGTGCATGTGTATGTATTTTGACTCTTTAAAAATGTAAAAACCATTATTTATTTATTTATTTTTTGCTCCTGGCCATATAAAAACAGACACAGGCCAAGTATAGTTTGCCAACTTCTGGTCTAAAGGTTAAAATACACACACAGAGTGGGTTTGTGGTTGTGAGTATGCAAAGCACAGAGTGTATTCTCGCATTATTGTTTATGAATTAGTGTATTACCTTCCACATGAGCAACTATAAGTGTACCTGGGAGGTACATACACTTATTTTTAAACTTACTTTCGTTTTCCTGCTTCTTAGCTGAGAGCCTGCAGGTCGCAGTGAAGGCCTCCCAGACGGGCGATGCCTCTCAGTCCCCCGAGGAGGGGTGTGCAGAAGCTGCCTTGCCCGATGTGCCCAGTTGTGACGCGCCAGGACCGCCGACTGCCTGTAAGTGAAACGCGGGCCTTTGCTATGAGCCGACACACAATCCCGTGTGTGTAATGGTTGCATAACATGAAGGCAACGGCTGTATTCCTATTTGAAGGGGTTGTAATGCATTTCTTAAAATTAGAAAAAACCCTGAGAATAAATACACTAGCCTTTACTAGTAATAATGACTGTATTTACAAGGATAAGGATTGAAAGGATAGTTAGCTGGTGCGTTGTATTGCTGTTGCCCAGGCAAGCTTTGTACCTCCTCCCAAACTTACTAAGTTTTGATATAACTTATTGAATACAGTTTTAAAAGATATTTTCAGCCGTTTTGTTTTTGTTTTTGTTTTTTTAGAAAACAAGACCTTTAACTTCATTTCTGCATCAGTGGAGAAAACAGAACTGAGCAGGGCAGGAACACACACACACACACACACACACACACACACACACGTATGTGGTGGCGGGATTAAAAGCAGTGGATGGACCTGGAGAGTATTATGCTCAGTGAATAAGCCAGTCAGAGAAGGACAAAGGCCATATGATTTCACGTATATGTGGAATCCAATGAACAAAATAAACTAACAAACAAAACAGAAACAGACTCATAGATACAGAGAACAGACAGCTGTCAGAGGTGAGGGCAGGGGGCGTGGTGAGAAAGGTGAAGGGATTAAAAAATCAAACAAAAATCGTCATACACACAGACAACAGCATGGTGATCACCAGAGGAAAGGGGGTGAGAGGAGGTAGAAGAGGGTAAAGGAAGGATAAATGGTGGGAGGAGATTGACTCGGGGTGGTGAACACACAATACAGGTCATAGATGATGGATTATAGAGTTGTACACCTGGGGCCTATATAGTTTTATTAACCAATGTCATGCCAATAAATCCAATTAAAAATATTTAAAAAAGAAAACTGAAAAAACAACAAACAAACATAGCAGAAGTGCCAAAAGATTTTTGATTAATGTTGTCGTACACTTCAGGTTAGAATTTACTTATGAAAATACTGTTTCAATATTTTTTAAATGCAGAAAATGAAATGTAGAGAATTGATTTAGGTAATTTCTCTAAACCTAATTATACTGTTATATGTATAGTGGTAAGCTAAAGATTTAATTTTCCAAAGGTTACTGATATAAGAGCATGAAAAGATATTTACAACTATAATTTTTATTATGTTCAGGTGATAAAAAACCTTACTCCCACCAGATCTTACATGTCTTTTAGTAGCTAGAAATTGGAGGATTAAATTGTCTTAGAATTTCTCTACAAACAACCATTGGTTAAATAAGATGAATGGAAGCGGTACAGTTTTAAAATTCTATACATTTTTTTTTTTACTAGCATCAGTAATTATTTTCCCCTCTTCAGTTCTGCTTTATCTAATCCTGGGTTTCTATTTTCAGAATGCGCACATATGTTTTTCATTTCAACACAGCCCAGATTCATCAGGGGAGTTGTACTGCCCTGGGTGATTTCCTCTGTAAAGAAGAACCTCATTATGCCATTAAGGAAGTTCTAGCTAAAAATACACGTAGGGATCTGCTGCTCTCAGACTCACCCGGGGACAGCTGGGAGGGGCCGTGTTGGGCTGCACAGCTGCTCAGAGCACAGGGCCACGCCTTCCCTCCCCGCAGAGCAGGCAGCAGCGTTCTTCCCTTCCGTATCCACATCTCCCAGGACATCTGCCACAACCACCAAGAGGCTGGTTCTGATACCAGGCTTCCTGTAGAGGAGGGGCAGGGCACATGGGCGGGGTCCTGTACCCCAAAGACCTCTTCAGCTCCGGGCTGGACTGGAACGTGGTGCTGCAGAGTTTGATTCTCTTTGTAACGTTGATGAGGACAAAATACCATCCCTGCGTGAGGGTCTATACCAGAAGGCTCAGCCCCAGGTTTGACTCTGAGGACTGTGTCCTTCTAAGTCAGGCCCAGGTCCATCTGAGGTTAGAGGCCAAGCAAGGCCCTCTGATTCAGGCCTCAGTATAGCTACTCAGGTGGGGGAGTAGTCTGCTCCCTCTAAAGTTCTGCAGACCCTCTCGTCCCCTCTGAGCTGACCACAGGAACAGAGGGACCTGGCCTAGCTTCCCTTCTCCTGCCTTCATGTGACCACCATCAGCTGCCTTTCCCATCAGGGGGTCCTTGTTCCTATGAAGGGAAGAGAGAGAATGGCCAATTCTTTTGTTTATGCTCTTGGCATCTCGCTAAGAGTTAAGAACAGTACCCAATAGTGGAACCACATTTTAGTGACAGAAAAGTCTTTATAAAATGTCCCTTCACTGTATACGTGAACAAGTGTTAACTGGCTTGGGCAAAATGAACTTACTTTTTAGCTACTATAATTTGAAGTCATTTCTGCTTAAACAAAAACTTCTTTGTATTAGAGGACTCTCATTTAAACATGGAGAAAACAGTATTTCCTTTATCAGAAATGAAGTTTCAAGATGGCACTGAGGAAAAAATATATAAACAGAGTCACAATGTATCTGTTTCATCAGGGTCCTGATTGGGCCTGGGTCCAATGAAATTCTACGTGTGAAAGGGCTTTAGAAGGTTTTGTTTAATCAGTATTAGGTGAGCCTATCATCCCACCAACAGAGATTTAATAAATGGAGTGACATCTGTGGGTGGTACTTAAAAAATATTTCTGGAGTAGAAATATTTCTGTTTTTATAGGTTAAATATACAGTAGTAACAGTATTATAAATTCAGAGCATAAACAAGAGTTGCGAGAAAAAAAACCCACTTGGAAATTGTTTTTAAAAACCAGTTCCCCTCCTGCTGTGGGGCGAGTCCCTCCCCTAAGCCTTGTGTATGGCCTGCTGCTCTCGTGCGGCCACCAGGGAGCCTGGCGCAGACCCGTGTCCCTGGCTCTGGGCCGGCCAGCCTTGCTCTGCCCCACGATGCCCGTTTTCAACTTCACCCTCCCCAGGCGGCTTTTTCCTATTCAGTGAAAGTGAGATGGAGAGTCTACCTTCTCGGTGTCACCACCGTCACACGAACACCTCTCTGCAAGAAAAGAAGAAAAACAAAACGATGGATGATTACTGATGCCCTTTGTCAGTTTGGTCCCCGTTAGCCTGTAAGCTCCCTGAGGGCAGGGCCTCTGTGTTGCTCTGCGCTATTTTAGCTATTTAGCACCTCATACGAGCGTGTTCAATACGGGACCTGATCTCACGGTGTCTGTTAATTGGAAGTATGTGTCAGCTGTGTGCAAAAGAGCCAGGTCCGCTGGCTGATGTGTGACGATGTCCTTTTTGTTTCTGTCTCAACGGCACGCTTCCAGCAGTAGTCACAGAAGGGACAGGAGGAAGAGGCTGTTGGGATGTGGATCCCGGGACCCAGGGTGTGGGAGCCGACTTGGCGGCCTCTGATGCAGGGGAGAAGGTATTGTGAACTGATTTGTTAGTAAACGGTACCAGTTACTTTGTGTAATAAAATAACCTCAGGTCCTGGTCTGTCCATGGCCCCGAGTGGTATGAACATGTTTTCCTGAATTGTTCTCAAGTTCAATATTTATATTTAAACTTTCTAACTTATTTCTCCCTAAAATGTTCTTGCTCTTCCTATATCATGTAGGTGTAAACAAAGAAACACTTGAAAAGTTATTAAAAAGATTGAAAACTCCAGTGTTTACTTGTGTGTCTTCTGGTCTCACTTTCACTTTCCGCGCTGAAGCCTCTAGCTTTTCACCCACTACATTCAGCAGTTCTTGGCCAAGGGATGTTCCCAGGCATCGGGGCCTTTACGCCACCAGGTGGCACTAAAGTGGCAGAAATAATTTTGATTTTGGAATATTGTTTGCTCCTTCCTTCCTCCTTCCTTCCTTCCTTCCTTCCTTCCTTCCTCCCTTCCCTCCTTCCCTCCCTTCCTCCTCCCTTTTTCTTTTTCTGCCTGGGGCCTCTTCTTTTTTGACATCCTATCCATGTAAGTTATACACTCTTTTAAAAATTAAATGTGGGAAAACTTCCTATTAACTTCAAATGAAACTGAGATGTCAGAAATAGAGAGGGACTAAGAATCCTAGTGGGCCTCCCCAGGATTGTCTGGGCTCAAGAGTTTAGCTTTATCTAAAATCGAATTAGGTACATTGCCAAATATCAATATGTGTTAATGTGGAAAAATGACATGTCAGGTCTTTATATATATAACATTTTATAGAGCATATGTATTTTGTACAAATATACAAATGACTGAGAAACCAAATCCAAAGGTATTGTTAAAGATGGCTGTGGTGGTTTAAAACTTCACAGGCCAAAATGGAACTAGGAATGCAGTGTTTTACTCCTCTTGTTCTGACTGTATGCTTTCTCACACTTCTTTTTAAAGTGTTCTGCTTTCCATCCTTTTCAGTGGGGCCTTCCCTTTAAAGTCTATATCTCCCAACTGCTTTTATGTTGTTTGAGAAAGGAAGGGGAGGGCTTGAACCCTAATAGTTTTCTCTTGATGGAAAGCTGAGGTGGCTGGATCCCACCCCTAAAGTCTTTTCCTTCCATGATGCAGTAGCAGGTAAGTGAGATGAAGTGTCTAGATTCCTCTTTGCATAAGCTTATCTGGAAAATTTGCCATTAATAAAGGTATTTTGATAAACTAAATGAACTGACAGGGCTGGATCACTTAAAATCAAATTTTTAAAAAATATACGATGTCTATTTTATAATAGAGACCTTAGTAAGGTAAGGCTTTAAATTTTTTTTTCCTGAAAGAATTTTTAAATATTACAAAATATCCTGTAAATCACCACCTGCAGCTCTGCACATTGACCACGAGGTGGCGGGCCAACTCCATTAAAAAGATGATGTGAAACATTCCAGTCCTGCATCAAACCTCGGGTGGTTCTTGGAAATAAGTAACCGCCTGTTGCATAATTCATTTCTGTTTGTAATTTTTATAGAATATAAAAACTGTATATCGAGCTATCATTTCATTACAAAAACCATGGGGAGTGGAGCAAGGACAGAACCAGGGATGCAGAGAGAATTCCAAACTCACTACAGAAGGGCGGTTCTTAGTCCATTACCTTCCAGAGGGTTGGGAACAGATCTCATGAGTAAATTTCATCCCCTTCTCCATCCTTTGGTCTTCCCCTACCAGAGGTGCTGGTGAATGACGACATCTTTAACTGGCTGTGGGGGAAGAGGTCTGGCTAGGTCATCAAGGCATCACCGGCCTGAACTATTGAATTTAATAAGCCCAACGTTACCTGAGCACCAACAGCTGACTGTTTCTTGTAGTTTCAGTTTAAAGCTGCTCAGACAAGAGCAATGGGAGACTAGAGGCTCTTGGAGAGAAGGAATCTGATGACCTTTCATAACAAAGTGTGGGTGTCCATATCTGTTTATAGAATGGAGTGAGTGTCCATTTCATACCAGGCAGGTATGTGGATATAGCATTGGATACACAGGTGAAATCTTGCTATTCATTGCCTGACCTTCTAGTGAGAAAAGACAGACAGTAAATGAATAGACAAATGTTTCAACTCTGGAAGCTAGAAACCCTCATTATCCACATGTCCCCTTAATGTGTGGGTAGAGAGACTCCATCCCCAGGGGCAGGTGGTGCCTCGTCGTATCATTTATGGCCTCTGCTGTAATGGTTCTATGAGCATGGAGGGCCCAGGGAACTCGGAGAGGCAGGATCTGGAGCAGGTCAGCTAAGTGCTCCCCTTTGGGCCACCTCTGGGTCTGGTTCCTTCTGCCCACTCCTGGCTGTTGGGCTCTGTGAATCTCAAACATTGAGACAGGGAGCTAGAGACCAGACATGATGATCTCTCGCTTCCAAATCTGGATCCAGAATGCTAGGGGCCAGTTTGGCCTGGGAGACAACTTCACTCGGCACAAGAGAGCTCGATTTACCGTGGTTTGTGATGGCAAATCTTGTCTCTTACCGAGAGTGTGCAGTGTTTCCTTGCCATCATCCCTGGTAGTTTTAGGGAATGGTTTGGCGGAAGGATGGCTTGCATCTCAAATACCCAGTCTGCACAGAGGGGGCTTCCATTATGTGATTGTTAGTTCTCTAGGCTTTGATTTCTGGGGGGAGATGGAGTCACCCACCATAGAAGAGCCCAGAGAGAGTGAAGAGATTTACCTGAGGCCATACATTTGGGAACACTATAGAGCAGCTTTTCAAAAGTGGAGTGATTATTCATTTTCTTATGCTTTTGTGTATTTTAGGAGGAATATAGAAGTTTTCCAGGTTCCTCTCAGTCAGAGGTGAGTTATGCATACCTTAAACACACCACCGTCCTCTCTTCTTTTGTGGATATAAATGCTTTTTCCAGAATTTGACACTTAGGATCTTATTTTTCAGATTATACAAGCGATACAGAATTTAACCCGTCTCTTATACAGCCTTCAGGTAACTACGCTCCTCTAATGTTTGAGCCTGTGAATGTTTCTCTCAATGCACTTCACTTTATTTGATGATTGCCAGACTTTAAAAACTAGAACATTTGTGAGGCTCTGTGGTCCTCACAAATGATCTTACAAGAGTGCCAGCCCCCACTGTAACTCAGCGAGGTGTGCTGGACTTCACCTGGTTTTGTAATCACAGGGCAACACCACTACTGCATTTTATACCGTTCTCTTCTGAAACCATAAAACAGTTCATATCTTTAAAAAATACTGACGACTGTGACCTGGCTTGAAGTCTACAGTGAAACTCTTAGGTGAGTGTAGCAGACTTCACATTTTCTGCTGAAAACTTAAATTCACACCTAAACATTTTTCACTTCCACATGTTGGCCTTGGGCCTTTAGAGCAGTTCAGTAATTCATATGCTGCTTCGTTCTTTGGTTTGTTCATCCACCCAACATGTACTGAGTGCTCTCGCTGTGCTGGCACACGAAGGCAGAAGGACCACAGAGCCTGCTGTCAGGTGACGCGCCGTCTGTCCAGGAAGGACAGACATAGCATCGTGCTTGCGTTGAGAATTATAGGTTTGGATGGTCTCTTAGGGCACACACAAGAAAGGCTGAATGCATCTAATTGCTTAATTTGTGAATTAAAAAATATTTTAAAATGATAGAAAAGCAATGGTTGCATTGTACATAAATTTGTAGGATAATTTGTAGGGTACAAATAAAATAACATGTGATTCTATGGGCAGAATTACTGATGTCATGTTGGTGTGTAACCCTCCTGTTTCTTAGAATCATTTCACATAGTCTTGCAACATGTACCTGTCTGTGTCATGAGCGGTTAGTCTATAGCACAGTTTTTATGGTTACATAATGTTCCAGTCTATTAAAGCTATTTACCCAGTTCCTCATAATTAATACATTTGTATGAAAAACACCCTCGTATTATCCTTATACACTAATTTCTTTGAAGATATCTGAGTGTTTCCTTAGGGAAATTACTGGGACATTTTCTTTAGTTTTTTAATAGACCTTGTCAAAGTAATTAATCAATACCCCTCTCTACTTCTCAGTTTGAAAATTGGTCAAGGTATCAGATTATCTTAATTTAAATTGTTTGGGTGACTGTTAAGATTAAACATTTTTCCTACTGGTTTGTTACCAGTCATACTTCCTATCTCATAGCTGTTGAATATGAAAATAAAACAAAATTGTCTGATTGTAAGTTTTCACCAGAAAACAAAAATAAAGTCATGCTACATTTGACTTTTTCTTATTTGTACTTCAACTGCATCAAGACGTCTTTCTCTCATGTTCCATTGATCATCTACCGATGCTTGCTCTGTGCCACTGTCTTAATTATTCAAGTTTTGGGTTACATTTACATATATGATACATATATGACAGTGCCAGTTTCCTGTAGTTACTTTCTATGCTTATCTGTATGTTTTTTCATAAAGAGTTTTTGAATGACTAACAAGTTTTTTTCCTTTCTACTGAGATTGTTTAATTAAAATCTCATTATACAGGGTGGGGCAAAAGTAGGTTTACCGTTCTGAGTACTCAAAACAGTTTATTCTTGTATTATTACCTATTCTTGTATTATTTTCCATACAAACCTACTTTTGCCCCACCCTGTATTTATGAATTCAATTATGGAGAATTGGCAGTTTTGCAATGATTAATACTCATGTCTTTGAACATGTTAGTCATCTCTTGTTTCATGCTCTGCTGGGAAGCTTTGTGATTATCTTCAAGTAGGTACTGTTTGTTTGTTTTTCTGCTAAGTTTATTTCTAGATGTTTGTCTCGTTGTTCCTATTGTGAAAGGAATATTTTTTTTATGCTTCCCCATTGGTGGTTGCTGATAAGAAGGGCCTTGATTTTTATATATTTATTTTGTAACCGGCCACTCATTGAATTTTATATTTTAACTAGAGGCCCGGCACATGAAATTCGTGCAGGAGGTGGGGAAGTCCCCTCAGCCCAGCCTGCACCCTCTGTAATCCGGGACCCCTCGGGGGATGTCTGACTGCCAGTTTAGTCCTGATTCCGGGGATTAGGCCTAAACCAGCAGTTGGACATCCCTTTCACAATCTGGGACCACTGGTCCTAACTGCTCATCTGCTTGCCTGTCTGATTGCCCCTAACAGCCTCTGCCTGCTGGCCTGATTGCCCCTAACTGCCCCCCCCCCCAACAGTCTGGTCACCCCTAACTGCCCCTTCCTGCTGGCCTGCTTGTCCCCAATTGCCCCCTGCTGCTGGCCTGGTCATCCCTCACTGCCCCCCTTGCCAACCTGGTTGCCCCCAACTACCCCCCCCCCACGCCACCTGCTGTTCGGTTGTTGCATGAGGACATTCTGGCCAATTTGCATATTCCTCTATTATTAGTATAGATAGTTTTTCTGTTGAATCTTTGGAATATTCCAGATAGAAAGTAAAAATTTGAAAGTAGTGTTATTATGGCTATTTTTAAATAATTATATCAGTTTTACTTTCTTGGCTTGCTGCTTTGGCTAGATTGAACTTCTGAAAATGTATAAATAATAGTGGTAATAGTAAGTATCCTTGTCTTGTTCCAGATTTAGTGGGACTGCCTTTACTGTCTTACATTAGACATGCGGTTTGGGGTAGATGCTCTTAGAGATTGCATTTGTCATGTAAAGCAGTTATTCTTTCTTCTCCATTTAACTGAGAGGGGATATAGTCAGATATATATATATATCCTCATTACCTTCGGGGAGATAAGAACATTGAGTATCCTGGCGTGTGTTGCCTGATGAAAGCACAAAGTCATATCTCTTCTTTTCAACTTTGAGTGCATTCCTCTGTGGGTTCAAGGTTCAGAAGAGCCAGGTGACCTAAATGGTCTAATCTTTGCAACTCATTAGGTTGAAGCAACATGGATTCTCTTAACCAAAGGTTTTGAGCTGATCTCAGGATACGGGCTCTGAGAGATTTCTGTTCATGGCACAGACATCTCTTGTGAAGCTGAGTTTCTTATGCATGCTTGAAGCTTTTACAGAAACATTTTTGGATTACATGGTAATGAAGTTTAGTGCTTGTGTTAGGAGAGCAGAGTTAGATGAGGTATTGGCAAAGCAGGAAGGAAAGGCCACAGAATCACTCCAGCAAAGAGAACTTAGGAGAAGTGAACCAGGAATTTCCCTAAAGTTGAAAAGCAAGTGCTGTTCTCTGTCCTAATTATCAATGTCACCTTTAAGTGTGAAAATGAATACAATCCAATCTTCAAATTCTGCCTCTCTGCTAAGAAGAAAATGGTCTTATCCGAAATGTAAGTAGAGGTGAGGAATACTTCACGGTAGCACTTAGTCTAATTGCAACCCTTACATGAGCGTTACCATTGCTGATGGTGGTTTTGACATGTGGAATATTGGATTTTTGTTTGTTTTACTGAACTGATGCCTGAGATTTTGTTAGAATTAAATGGTGATGTGCAGGTTACAGTTTACCCACCAGGGCCTCACAACCTGAATGGCTTATGATCTCATACTTATTAAAGATAAAAGTAACCAGTACCTATTCTCAGTGATCATTGTTCTCTTTGCAGTAACTTCTTACATACATGAATCAAAGATTTGTGTGGCTCTGAAATTTCAAGAATTCTTTTCAAATTTAAAAACATGAATTTTATTTCAAAAGGGCCCAGTGAATACATTTTTGAATCTTATTCCAAGATAAGTACCAATTTAAAATATACCTTACTCCTTTAACCTTCAAAAGTATGCTGATCTAACAAAGAACTAATGGTCAAATCCCCATCTTCCCAGCATCTGTTACATGGACAGTTTTAAAAATTCTTAGGAAAGAAAAAGGTGAACTTACCCCTCAAAGAGTAATAATTTCTCATAATGAGTCAAAACACACACACATACCCAGTATGTGGCCATTTCCAATTAGTCCCCTTTGTGCTTCTTTGCACTTTAAGTGGGAACTTTTAAAATTAAAAGCTTCCAAGGGTATTCACGGATATATTTTTTTTTCCTGTGGAATCCTTCCAAATCTTGGCAGTTACTTCCTGTGATGTGGCCAAAGTTTTCACAGGCAGATACCGTAACTCAAAATGTTTTTTTAATCTAGTTGGTAATCCTCTGGGCTTTAGAGTATCTATGTTTCCTTAACCATTCCAGCTTCCTGTTAGCAACTATTAAACACATGAATTTCAGCTTAATGCATGGCCTTCCTGCTATCATACAAAGAAATAACAGTAACGAGACTAACTTTACCACCTACATACTGTAAATATATTAGCTGCTATTCCTGGGCATCCTACTATAAAAAGGTTATTTACCAAAAGTCTATAAGTGGTCGAGTTTTATTTTTATGTCTTCATATATGTAATGTAGCTTAAGTAATTTCTGGCTTGAGACTCAAGTAAAAGATACTACCGGGTTTATGTAGATTCTTAACTTCTCATGAATTCTGAGAGAGCGTGAGATTCAGCACAGGAATGCAGAGTCTTGTGAATTTATGCACTGAATTCTTATTCAGAAATGCTATCCAAAACCCAGCCACAAACCCCATTTCCAAAAGCAGGGGGTGCCTGTTGCTTCTGTGCTTTATTCTTTTGTGTATAAATTCCCAGGCCCTACCACTGGGAAGTGTAGACAAGCCTAGCTGATGTCCCAAGGCTGGCCTTTGGAGGTCCGGGGGCGGGGCGGGGGGGGGACAGTGATAGCAAGAGGGTAGAATTCGGTCATTGCTTTTGTGTTGAGAGGTAGTTCCAACCAAAGTGCAGACAACATGGAGGCCTGCCCTCTCCCTCTCTGCCCCACAGGCTGCCTTGACCATCCAGGACAGCCACATCGAGATCCACAGGCTGCTTCTCCAGCCGCAGGACAGCTCGTCCCCCGGCCCCTCCTTCCGAGGCAGCCCCTTCCAGGACCCGGACAAGCACCGCAGCCTGGAGAAGCGGCGAGAGGAGCTGGCCGACATCCCCAAGCTGCAGCGCCAGTTCCAGCAGGACCAGCGGCGCTGGCAGCGCAGGTGCGACCAGCAGCAGCGGGAGCAGGAGGCCCGGGAGAGCTGGCTGCAGGAGCGCGAGCGGGAGTGCCAGTCGCAGGAGGAGCAGCTGCGCAGGAGCCGCGGGGAGCTGGACCTGCAGCTGCAGGAGTACCTGCAGAACCTGGAGCAGCTGAGGGCAGGCCAGCGCCTGGTGGAGAGGGAGAGGGGCAGGATGCGCGCCCAGCAGAGCCTGCTAGGCAGCTGGAAGCACAGCCGGCAGAGCAGCCTTCCCGCGGCCTTCTCTCCAGGAAGCCAGGAGGTACGGATGGGTCTTCAGTGCTTGCCCACCATCCTGTCTCTTTGCTTCTTGTGGAAGCGCTCACGAGAGTTATTCAATATGCAGAAGCTTGGAACTTTCCCAGACAGTGCACATGCGTCTTGATTTGAAATATGGAAATGTGAAAGGCCTTGGTCCTGTGGGATCCTGGGCCCATTGTAGGTTGAGACGCCCTGACCCAAGGGAATGAACACAGAATCGCGCTGTCCCAGCAAGAGGAGGCTTGTCCTGGAGGCACCTCACCTTGAGCATGCTGATTTCCGTAAGGGAGGCCCCTCTTCATATGGTCTGGCCTTAGCCTTGTATACAGGTTTACCTGTTAGTAGGTCAGTTAGCTGTTAATGTGCAGTATAGGTCCTGAATTTAGCAAGTATAACACTGTTCTGTTATTCCTTGCTTATGCTCCTTTTGTCATGCTGACAGAGTCAATTCAAAATCCCTTCACTAGGAATGGTTCACAGGAGTCTACGAGCTAATGACTGGGCAGAATAAAACTTTTCTGAGGATTCTGTGTTCCACTGGCACCCTCTCTAACCGTGCTTGGCAATTCATTTGTCCCAAGAGTTTGCTTTTCTGTGCTATGAGCAAATCCGTGCTTTTTTTTTTTATTGATAGTATGTAATGCTGTAAAGGTTGATATGCTTATAAGAGAGTTCTGCTGCATCTGACTTTCCTTTCAAGTAGGCTAAATTACATTTATTGCAAATACATGTGTGCATGGATATGTTTTCAGCTTTTTTATTTAACAGAAGTTAAAATGCTGCTCTCTCTTAAAATAAAGTGGAACATTTGAATGGCAGAGAGCACTACTGCTTGTGTGTGTTTTAAAGCCTCATCTTATTGTTTTGAGGGAGAGAGAGGGGGAGAGAGAGAAACATTGATGTGAGAGAGAAACATCAATGCATTGTCCCCCATGTGCAGCCCGATTGGAGCTGGAGCCCACAATCTAGGTGTGTGCCCTGACCTGGAATCAAATCTGGCAACCTTTTGTACAGAATGATGCTCCAACCAACGAAGCCACCGGCCAGGGCTGGGGTTTTTTTGTTTGTTTTGTTTTTTTAAAGATATGCTGGGCATAGTGAATTAAAGTTTTTGGTACTAACTCATTAAAGAAGGCCTGGAAGGAAGGGTCAAGAGTAATGTTCTTGATTCACTCTTATTAAAATGTTGCCTGCTAAATTCTACCAGGAATAAATACTTGATAAAACTTGTTCAAATGCCTGGAGAAATTATTGGTTGTTTTTCTTTTTATTTTCTTACACAGGTAATGGAACTTAATCGATCTGAGAGTTTACATTATGAAAATTCGGTCTTCATCAACGATGCTTTAGTACAAATGTCATGTAACACTTTCGACAAATCAACTCCACCAGCCATCCACCAGGACGCCACTTACCCCCCCAGTATATCTAACTCTGACTCGGAAAGGACTAGTGAAAATCAAGTAGACCTCAAGACAGGTGTTTCTCAGCCCACGGGTGAAAACCATGAACTATGGACAGCCGCTGAGTCCTGTCAGCAGACAGCCCCCCTCCACCAAAGCAGCGAGGATTCTTGTCAAAATGGTAATTAACACTGTAAGCATCATCTATATAGTTGCAACAAGAAGCTGTGCCTCTCAATGGTTGGCTCTTCTTTAAAGCAAATCAAAGTGTGGGGGGGCCTAGAATGGGAATAAATTGGTGCAGGTGAGCTGGAGTTTGTGGCATAAACTTTTCTCTGGGGAGTCTGGGGACTGCCACCACTTGTGAGTAACAAGACTAGCTAGACCAGTGGTCGGCAAACTGTGGCTCGCGAGCCGCAGTTTGCCAGCCACTGAGCTAGACCATGGAGGGCTTACAGGATGCCAGCAAGATGCTAGGACCAGACAGGGTTTTCAAAGGCCTGTGTGTTAAATGATAACTTTCTCTTTCTCTTAAAAGTGAAGCAACTTGATATCTATTCCTCAGTGTAGATCCTATCACATCCAGATACACATACTTGTTGACTCTCAGAAATAACAGATATGGACAGGGTTTGTGGTAGGACTTTATTGTCTATCAGGGCAATTTCCTGTAATGTTAGTGAAACCTGTATTGCTATTAAACGTCCAACATGAAACTGGTAACATCATTTGTCATTGTAAAAAAAAAAAAAAAGGTGTTGTGTCTCCATAAGTACCTCATAATAACACAATTTGCTAATCCCATTAAAGCATTTGCCAAATATCAGTGAAAGGCAGCTCGAGTTACCAACTCTACATGAATCCAAAAGATTTAAATCTCAGTGTGTTATAAATTGTTTTCCGTGGGATATGAGGTAGGGAATGAGAAGAACTTGAAACCTCTCTACCAGAAAACAGATGGCATGCAATAGAATAAACAAATGGTTGGCCACATGGATGTGAACTAAATCACTGACAGCAAAATGTTTCAGAAACATAAAACAAGCAGCCATATAGAACTTCAGAACTGGGCACAGGCTGATTTCCATGCTTGTTACAGATTCTAAGTTTGTCAGTAGGATAACTTTTTAGCGCTGGAAAGTTTTAAATCTTCTTTGAATTACTATTATTATTAATTTGAATTATTAATCCAAAAGATGTTGATTTGTAGCAGTGGACCATTCTTTATAGTCACTGCTATAACATTCTTATTTCTTGACAGCATATAGGAGAGAGTTAAATATTGCTTTAAAAATATCATTTCAAATATTTTTTAAATAAAAAATATACAACGGAATATTCATTGGGATTAAATAAAATGAAGAGTCAGGAAGCATTTATAAAATGTAACCACTTTAATATATTACCTTGCACCTTGAGGATGATGGTGACCACACTGCAGAATGCCTTTTCTAGGTACATGTTGCCTTGCCGCTCTGACGCGTTACCTTGCTGTGTCCAGTGCCTCAGATGTTCTCGTTGGTGGGGTTTTGCATACTGGCTGTGGCCTAATTCAAAAACTCAGTTTGAGTTAAACCACATTCAGCTTTTGTTTAAAAAGAAGAATTTCTCTCCTGCTTATTGTGTATCTCCCATCGTTCTCTATGGCTTGTGCTTCAAACTAGAAAGCTTTAAACATTTGGCAGCACACTTGCAGGAGATAGAAAATGTACTAAGGAAATAAACAGTGATTATATACAAAACCAGGCCTCCACATGCTCGGAATTAGACGCAGCCAAGGGAAATGCTAAGAAAAAGTACTTCTGCTTCAGATATTGTGTGCCATGTAGGCCAAGGACACTCAGGCCATTGACAGAGGAGAAGAAAATCAACTTTGGCCTAAATCTCTTGGAACATCCTGGTGTGTAAGCAGGGATTAGGTCAGAAATGCAGTGTGTGCTGTTAAGCATGGAGTTTTGCAACCAGTTGAAAAACCCCTATTTATATTTGTTTACTTAGGCGTGATAAGCAGTTCCTGGAGCAGAGAAAAGAAAGTCAGAGATAAGGGGGTGATAGGGAAGTGGAATGAAAATTGGATATATGTTCTTCAGAGGCTTGTCAGGGCCAGATAAAATTGTTCGAACCTCGCCAGAGCCTTCACAGCTCATATAATTGAAAGTAGTACAAAGTAATCCCCTGATGTTGGTCTTAGCGATCCTGCAGTGCTCTCCCTGCATCGTCGTAGGGGCGGCGCTGGGTTGGGAGGAGCAGGCTCAGGGTGTGCCGGTGGAGGGGACAGTCCCTGTGCTGGCATCAAGGACAGCGCAGTGCCACTGTCCCTACTTTCATACCTGGCCGCTGAGTCTTTGGGTGAGTGGTCCCCACTCCTGAGACCCAGAGCTCACCGTGTTCAGGCTAACAAAATCTGTCTGTCATGTTCCTGTCGGTGTTTTTGTTAAACATGCATTTAAGCATGATCCGATTAACGCTGCACTGAAGATCTCATCTGTAGGCCGGCCCTACGGTCAGCTGTCTTCAGGCAACGCCTTAAGGACTGGCTTGCTCTACTGTCTGGTCCAGCACTCGGTGCGCATGACCAGCTCAGATCAGTGGAGATGTGAATTTCTGGAACAGGATAAGCCGAATGGAAAAGTTTGTCTGTAAATAAAATTCTCAAATGTGTTTAGCTGTCACCTAGACTGGAGTTTTCATTGGTTTGTTCAACCCAGCCTCGCCAGACATCTCACTGTGCTCCGCGTGCTCTGGTTGTGATTGGCTTCTGAATTGCTCTGTCACCACCACCAACAACAGGTGACACCAACTTTCAAGCACCGCGCTAAGGTTTCGCCTGGAGAGACTTATTTACCACGCAGTCTGCTGAGATGGTTCTGTGATCATCTCCATTTGAGAGGGGAAACTGAGGTACAGGGAGGGTCAGTGACTTGTCCAAGGTCACACAGCTAGTAAGTAGCAGAGCCAGAGATGAACCTGGGGAAGATGGGCTCTGGAGCCCATGTTCTTAATCATTGCCCTGTAAACTGTTGATTTCTAGAAGGCGGTTTGGAATTAGGCGTTTTAGAGAAGTTGGAGGGAAATAGAAGAAATCAGGTTGTAATGCCTAGCAGGATGGCCAAGATTGAGAACTGGGGTGGTTGTTTTCTTTCTCTCCCTCCCTTTAATACTAGCATTTGGAAAATCTTTCTAAGTCTTTGCGATTGCCGTGGGCAATGCTTGCATGGGTTCTGAGCACCTTCAGACACCATAAATACTGTTAGCTTCACTCTGCCCGAAGACACCTTTTCGTAAGGATAGTTTCTCTAATGATGCCTTAGGATGCCCCATGTTACTTGTATATTTTTTTTAATTAAATCTTTATTGTTCAGATTATTACAGTTGTTCCTCTTTTTTCCCCCCATAGTTCCCCTTGGATATATTTTTTTGAGGTAGCACTTGAGAAAACTTTACTTTGCAGTTTTGGAAGCTGTTTCATGAACAAAATTCTTGGATGTTTGAATATGATATCCAAATTGGAATTTGGTTTTATTTATAGAGGAAGGGACGGTTAGTCTAAGAACTTAATCTGCACTCCTCTGAGGGACACTAGCCACGAGTACAGAAAATGTGAAATTTTTAAACAACGTAGTCCCTGTGGGACAATTGCTATGTAATTGGCCCCGTGAAATGCTCAACTGCCTTACTCTTCTTAAAGGCAAAACAAACAAAGAAACGCTTTATTCCTATGAGGTATTTTTTTTTTTCCTTCTCGCTTTAGAATTCTAGAACTATTTACTCAGCGCATCTGTTAGTTTATGATGTTTGCCTTTTTCATTGATCAACAGAGAAAACACTTCATGGTATGAAAATTAATCTGAAATCTTCTTATTCCCCATTTTCAGTTATATTTTTATCTGTACCTCAATTTTTGCAGGCTACCTGAAATGTTTCTCTTCAATATAAAGCATTATGGTTTTGCCCTGCATATGAAACAATTTAAATCAAGAGCCAAAGTTTATGAGTTAGTCATGTAGATATTGGAAAAAGATAATAACTTTATGTTTGAATTCCAAAAGAGTGTTTCCCTTTGCTTCATATTAGAATTTGGTGCCCATCAAAATATTTTCAAAATTCAAAGCATTGTATTCAGAATATTTCATCTTGGCAATGCTTTTAAAAAAAATACAGACAGCTGTGTTGAACTCTAAAGGACTTTTTTTTAACATATGGAAAGAAAATAGAAAATTTCCCAATAAAAAGCCATGTTGTAGTTAGCATTTAAGTAAGTCTTTAAGAAGTGAGTATATGATAATTTCTAATGTTTTGCAACTATTCCATAATTCAGAAATGGCACCGTATTTATGTGGAAAGGAGCTTTGCCAAAGACCTTTAGGCAATTTCCCATAAAACTGAAACTGGCATTCGGTACTGTCAGCTTCAGTGACCAAGGTGTATTTGACAAGAAGGCGGTATGCGTTTGCTGGGGCTGCCATAATAATGTACCACAGACTGGGAGGCTTAAACAGCAGAAATGTATTTCTGCACAGTTCTGGAGGCTGGAAGTCTGAGACTGAGGTTTCCTTCTCTCTGACTTCAATGGTCTTTCCCATGCATGTCTGTGTCCTAATTGCATCTTCTTCTAAGAATACCAGGCCTGTTGGATTCGGGCCTTCTCTAATGAGGTCATGGGGGTTAGGATTTCCATATATGAATTGGGGAGTGGGGACACACTTTAACCTTTAACATAGGATAAAATGATTATACATTTTTTTCATTGCAATATTTTTAGTTGTCATGAAAGTTTTGATTATTTATAAATATACCAAAGTTGAACTATAATTTACCTACCTTGTGAGCTTTTTTTACTTGGTTAGAAAAGTGAGTTGAACTTTATTTTTCAAAAATGCATAACAGTGAAATTGTGATAAACATATGTCCATATGTTTATAGACATAGGTGTCTGTTATCAAGCCTATGTCAACTCATAGGAATTAGGGCAGCAAGTATGGAATCTGTAGATTCATTCGGCCGCATTTCCAAACCAAGGCCTTCATTAGGAGCTTTGGGAATTTTGAGCTCTCTTTATGATCAGGAAGGATATTAGATGCCTTTATATTGGATTGCTTAAATGAAACCAGAGCTGAAGGGTTGGAAACGTTTGTTATGACAACAAATTATTATTTAGATATATTTATGGGAGTTTGTAGA